TAACTGAAAATGTCTAAATAAAACTAACTTATAAAATTGTAAGATTTTACAAAAAAAAAAAAAGAAAAAATGAAAACAACCATACTCATTCTTTTGTTTTAATAATTCTTCTCTAATTAAAATTCCAACTGATTCTTTAAAGACTAATGTACCATGTCCATTAGCTTCAAAATAAACACCTATATCATAATCTTTTGCTGTGTGATGAAGATATTTAACACCAGTAGGAACACATGCAACAGGAACTTTCTAATAAATATAAGTGATATATTTTATAATTAAATAAAAAAAAAGTCTTTAATAAATAAAATACATTTTAATTAATATTAAATAAAACAATAAAAAAAATAAAACATACCAATTCATTAGAAATATAATTTGTTGAATTTCCATTTGAATAAGCAGTTTGAACTAATCCTATGTTAATATTAAGACCAGAAGCCATAATTAGTTCTTTAAGGTAACCAGCCACTAAAAATGTTTAACTTTTTATTATTAGATTATTTTATTTAACTAAATAAAAATTTGACTTATTATATTTATAATTGCATTTGATATAACTAAATATTTACCTAAAGTAGCAATACGATCCCCATCCAATAAATAAAAAGTATTGGTTTCATCAATGAAAAAATAAATTATTCTATCAGCATCACCATCAACTGATACATACTTAGTATTTGGTATTATAGACAAACCAGTTGGAGGACATTGATTTGATTTTACATAGTCTGCACCACACTAAATATTTCAATTAAAACCAAAATATTATTAACTTATAGAGAAAATATTCAACAGACTTAATATAAAAAAATAACAGTACTTTGATTTAACTAAAATTTAGAAAATATAAACAAGCTCCTAGAAATAATCACATGTTTATATTTTTTCTAAGTGATTAGTAATAGTCTTTACAGACTTTTTCCTAGCATATAAAAATTTAAAAAAAAACCTAGTACAGTGAAGATGTGACATAGTTGATACAAGTATAAATGATATCTGACTAGGAAAACTCGCAGGGGGACAGGAGATGCCATTGTACTTCAAAGATTTTTTGTGTCACAAATAAAAATAATACATACAATCCTAGCTTCCAAATCTATTAATATAATATGATATTGAATTTTTATCAATGTAAAATGGATTCTACTGCATCTATTTCTAACCAAAATCAAAAGTAGCATTATTTAGAAAGACAGGCTTTGCAGGGTCCATAGATATGGAAAATAAGATAATTGTTTACTTCTAAACTTATTATATTAGACCATAATTATGGTATAGCAGATGCATATAAATATAACATTTTTTTTTTTGAAAAATCAAAAATTATTGGTATGAAATTATTAATTAAAAAAAGAAAAGAAAACTCTATTATTCAACCCCTCATTAGCTAATTAAATTTTCAGTAATAAATTTTAAACTATAATTTATAATAAGCCATTAGAAGGTAACTAGAAAACATTATGTAAAAAAACTTTTTCTACTTTAACAGCTGATTTCTTATAGTAAAATAATCATGGGCTAGATTTTTTTTTTAATACTATAGTGCACTTCAAGAACTCTAAGTAGATATAACTTAAAAGTTGATAGACGTTGCGGAGACCATTTTCAAAAATTGAATAGAAGAAAGAATTTTACATTTGTGACAGTTAATTTGCATTTTTTAAACTCATATATCAACAAAATCAGTCAAGTGAGAACTTGATTTTTTTTTTTTTTTAATTTTCATGGACAGACACAAAAA